TCTCGGTAGCGGGGGTGGGGGGGGAACCACCACTAATTAAAAGGAAGAATAATGGATTATCTGCCACATTCGGTTTCAGAGCAAACAAATTTGCCAGGGATAATAAAAGTCACTTCATTATGATAAAGGGTTCAATTATCCAGAGAATGAAATCATCCTGAACATTTTATGCATGATGCAGAAACTGACAGATGTATAAGGAGAAATAAATATACAAAGACAGCCATACCTCAGTAATTTAAATAACAAATAGAAAAGCAAGTATGTAGCTTGAACACACTACCAACTTGCCTTAAATGATGTGTATGGGCCATTATGACATAATCAAACACTCTACCTAGCAACATACAACAAAATACACTGCTGATTACAGAGTATATTTTTCTCACGTGTACACGGCACACTGTCAAAACAGAACACATACTGGATATAGGGGGTGCATAATTGTAATCTCAGCATTCAGGAGGCTGAGGCAGGAGGACTGTAAGTTTGAGCCTAGCCTAGGCAACTTAATGATTTAAGGAGACCCTGTCTCAAAAATTTTTATAATTACAGGGGCTGGGGATGCAGCTCAGTGTGAAGGCCTTGGGTTCAATTCCCAGTAAAGCAGAAGCAAAGCAAAACAAAACAAAAAACAACAATCTGCACCACACCCTGGGCCACAAAACAAGCCTGAATACATTTTAAAGAATTTTTGTCATATAAAATATGTTCTCTGAGCTGAGTGGGGTAGCACATACCTGCAGTTTCAGCTACAGGGGAGGCTGAGGCGGGAGAACAGCTTGAGCCCAGAGGAATTCAAGAGAAGCCTGGACAAAGCAGGAAGAGTCCATGCCAAAAGGAACAAAACCTGACTACACAGAATTACATTTGAAATCTGTAACAGAAAGCTACCTGGGAAATCTTCAAATAACTGGGAATTAAACAGCATACTTCTAAAATTCACACGGGGTCAAATATGAAATCAGAAAGAAGGCTAGGTGTGGTGGTGCACGCCTGTAATCCCAGCACTCGGGAGGCTGAAGCAGGAGGATCATTGTGAGTCCAAGACCAGCCTGGGCTACAAAGTGAGCTCAAGGCCAGCCTGAACTGCACAGCGAGACCCCGTCTCAAAAAAAAAGAAATCGTAAGGGAAATTAGAAAATAACCTGAATTAAGAGAAAATGAAAACAAGAGAACAAAATTGGTAAGACACGAGTAAAGCAGTATTTAGGGATAAATCTGTAGGAGCAAACACCTAATATAGGTTTAAATCACTGATGGTGATTTCCACATTAAGAAATTTTAAAAAGAACAACTTAAATCAAAATAAGAGGAAAAAAATAAGGACTGAGCAAGAAATCAATAAAATAAAAAAGAAAAACAACAGGGCAAAATCAGTAATGCTGGCTCTCATGATATCAATGAAAACTTCAAGCTAGGCATGGTGGCCTACATCTACAATCCCAGCACTCAGGAGGCTGAAGCAGGAGGATCACCGTGACTTCCAGGCCAGCCTGGGCTACATGAGTGAGTTCAATGCTAGCCAGGACTCCATAGTGAGACCTTGTCTCAAAAAACCAAGGCACGAAAAAGAAACCTCCGGAGAATCGACCGTGTCACAACGTGCACAGTGATGCTGTTTCTCTTGTCTCTGCCTAAATGCCAAGGTGTGTAATAAGGGACACACTTTACATATTTCTACCTGAAAAAGGAGCAAAGACAGTCATCCTCCGACAAACCACATAGCTCTTCCGAGCAGAAGGTTTCCCTGGAAGTAAGGGGAAGGGACTGGGTTGGATCGGCGGTGAGGAACCCACGGCAGCCTTCTCACAGCGGACTGTGTGTTACCACTGAAAGCTCTAAAAGGTTCGCCATCACCGAGTCAGGTCGTCTTTAAAAATTCTCTAAGAACTGGATTAGATCTTGCAAATGCTAAAGAAGAGGTGTTTACACGAACAGCTCAAAATGTCCCGAGTAACAGGTATTTTGGCAGAACCCTGGAAACACTCCTCAAAAATAACCATGCTGACTGAAGAGGAAAAGGTGTTCAACGCACCCATCACTCGGTATTTTCAAGTAACAGCTTTGGGAAGAAAAACCAAAGGAGAATTTTAGTCTAATTCAAAATCAAGGGCCAGTACTGTTTAATTTTTGCTTGTCCCCTCTCTAAGGTGGTACTCCTATCTGTCCCAAAAAGGTCGTCATGGTGGTGGTGCAAGTGTGTAACAACAAAATCAAGAAGTTAGAGACTGCGACGGAAGGAAGGCCTCTGCATCAATGAGATCAAAAGACTCAGACCCTACTGACTGCGGGCTTGAGGTAGCTATGAATTTATGCCACTGTCTTTTAGGAAAAAACTACATCTTAAAAAGAGACACAGATAGGGCTGAAATCTGTCCTAAGTGTCCAGATTTGGCCAACCAAGTAGACTAGCCATTTACCATCCAGCAGTTAACCTTAAAAATATAGACCCTGGAGCCAAACCGCTTGAGTTATGCTAGTTACTGGCCTTACCACCGAAGGCAAACTACAGTACCTAACCTTATAGAGGTTACTATGAGGATCAAATTTATATATATCTATAAAGACATAACTATGATTCTCTTTTCCTTCCAGGTTTTAATAAGGAACACCAGAAACTAAGATAATTCTGTAAAATTATTAAAATAGCACTTTCAGCAAAATTCACATTTTCCTTAATTTAATACCCTCTTACAAAGCTATGTATCTATATATTTCACTGGAATGGGCAATGCTTACGGAAACATAAATATACATTAGTTTAAAAGATTCTAGAGAGAATCCAGGTGGTCTACAGTGTTATTAGATTTTATAAAGTTGGGCATAAAAGGTATATTCACTCACTAAAACACTAAGTTAAAATCAGATAACGTGGAAATATTAAATACAGCCTTTACGAATATTTAACTGCTAAGTACTGGACTATTAATTGTTGCAAAACGTTTTAACTTAACAAAATCCTAGGAAATGATTTCTAAAGGATGGACCTAAAAACCGAGCACGCGCCAAGAACTGCACCCTTCACCTCCCCTGCAGTGGACTGCACAGCTCCCCCGACTCATGTTACACGGAAGAGCGGGAAGACGCGACCCAGCCGAGTCTCACCCCCCACACCTGTATCTACCCGAGGTAACGCGAGAACTCAAGAGAGGGAATGAAATACCCTGCCTAGCCCACTAGCACACAATACTTCTAACTCATGCTCCTTTCCCTTTATTTAAAGGGACAGACGAAATCAGGAACAGTTTCACAGCATTGTCGGAAATCACCTTGTTATTACTCCTTACAAAAGACATCTACAATCTGAGCATGAATACACATTTTCAGTGTTCCTTCACAGGCTTTACTTCAAAAACACTATGGGAATCAGGACAATGCACAAATCATTTCTGATATAAATAACTTTTGGAATAAATGCCCACTTTGGAGTAAACGAGAGGTGTAATAAATTGATGAGCATCTGTGACCTACCATTTTCCATAAATAGCCTCAAGAAACACCTGAATCTTACCGGTTCTAATTGATTCAAACACCCTATTAAGCAAACATCCTGGTACACAAAAGAATGAGACTTTTTTTTTACATAGGGTCTCGCTATGTAGCTCAAATTGGCCTCGAATGTCCCACGCGTTGGCACTATAGGTGTGCACCATCACATCCAGTTTACTATGCTTGGAACGTTCAATTTTGAGGAAAACTATCTTCAACTTGCAGGTGGGCAAGAATAAACACTTCGAGAAAAGTGATTTTTTTTCCCCCGGTACCGGAGATCGAACCCACGACCCTGCGCTTGCCGAGCAGGCGCTGTGCCGCTGAGCTACATCCCCAGCCCCTGAAGTTAATTTCTTAAGCACCATTAGTCCCGCAGGCTGCAGCGGCTCATTCCTGTAACCCCACCGCTCTGGAAGACGAGGCAAGAGCCCACCCTCGACACTTTACTGATTTAGCAGGACCTTGAAAGAAAATTTTAAAAAGGGGTACAGCTGGGAATGCAGCTCAGTGCGGAGGCCCTGGGTTCAATCCTCAGTACAGGACGAAGCAGGCAAAAAAAAAAAAAAAGCCAGCAAATCGGTGTTTTAATTTAAAGGCCGTCGCTTAAAGCTCCCGAGCCAGAGCACCGTCCTCCTTCTCTGCTCAGCACCCCAGCTTCAGCCGAGCACTGGGGCGAGGGCGGGACGCAGCGGAGGTCTCGGTCGGGGTCAGGACGCTCACACCCCCGGGGTGCCCCGGCCGGCCCGCGCCCGAGAACGCAGCACCCGC